TTTTTGGACACAATAATCGTGTACTGAAAAATCTGATATTGTGACAGCCCAATGTAATAATTTTCATGCAGGCCTATTAATCTCTTTTTTATTTATTTTTGGCAATGTGTGAACAGCTTGTAAAAAACCTAAAAAAAACACCCCTCCTAGGCTGTTTTAGGACTGGGGACATTTTTGTTTGGAAGATCAAAAGGATGTGAAGTTTACGCACGCTCACGAAATCCTTTCGCATGAAATGAATGCTTACAGTTTTAGCATAATGCCGAAAGAGCCATTCTGTACTGCAATGTGCATGCAAAGAATTGAAATTATTCAAACTATAGTCTCACATAGCCAGATCTATTCTCAAATATACTTTGTAATCATATCAATGTAATTTTAATGACCTCATCTGTCGAAAAGAGCTGTTGAAAACATATCCACATCGCTATGATCAGATGCTTTTTTAACTGCTGCTTTCTCACTGCTGTCATTTTTGTTTTTGAGAAGAAACGTCTAATTAAAACCAAGTATGTTAAGAAACAAACATGAAAGTGTACTTTCTTTAAGTACACTTAAGTTGCCTTTTATTTCATTCATGTTAAATTCTCTGCAAGTACATTTTTTAAATATAAGATTGAGGTACACTGCAAGTGCACATTCAATACAATTAAGCACATGTTTTTTTCACAAGGGAAATGTAATGATTGAGTGTGGAAACTCTTTTTAGGATGGAGAATGTGGTGCATAAGTACAGCCGTGCTGGAGTATACACTGTCACGGTAGAGTGCAGTACTAGTGAATGGCATGTGACCGCCTACAGAAGCATGATAAGCATCACTATCCAGGAACCGCTCTGAGAGTTTGGGACCATAAAGTGCCACAGCATGAATCAATCCACAGACTATTCCAACTGCAAACCACTTTATAATAACCCTCTGAGAATCCAAGTGACATTAGACGCAGGTCAAAATAAACGTTTATTATTACTATTATTTTGACAAAAGGGAATGTAATGAGAATTTTTACAGTTTCTGAAAAAGTCCTTGCAAACCTCAACACTACAATGCTAGGTAGCCTGTGCGTTGCTACGCAGTTGCTAGGGTGTTTCTATGCAGTTTCAAGGGTATTCTGGTGTCTATGATGTTGTGGCCCCTAGATATGGCATTTTATTGTAAAGCCCAAAGTATATTTCAGTTTTAATGTGAACGCTTAAGGTATACATTGCATAGTCAAACACGCAACCTTTTAACCTTAAAGTATACTCCATTTGATAGCATGCACGAACACAAGTGCTTGACACATGCGCACTAGAAAGTTTCATCCTTGTTCAATGTCTGCGCAATTCCTCTCCAGAACTTATGACCGATTCAAAATGTAATTTTACACATCATATGACCCCTTTAAACCAGAGTTGCATCTCTTAATCCCCTCACACAAGCGATCATCAACACAGGGATCTCCAGTCCAGCTCCATCCATCTGTGATCCCAATGGGTGGAGCTTGACCTAGTTTCGTTTAGGGATAGGTTTATGGTTAGGGTGAGGGTGTGGTTGGACTTTCAAGCTCCACCCATTACATCCAGAGAGGTGGAGCTGAACATCAATCTCCACCCATTTTGCTCTGCATTGAGCACCTTCTCCTTGTTTTCATCACTGAATTAAAATCATCAGCGCCAGTAGTTCTTGGAAGAACTTAAACCCAAAGTAGTATACTTTGGGTTTAAGCCTATGGGATTTTATTAAAACATATGCTTAAATTTTCCACCCAACTGATATCAGAAATACTTATAGCGATTTCAAATGACATAACTTAAGTTTTAAAAACTGAGAAAATCTAAATGAATGTTTACCTCCTCCAGGAACAAAAGTAACATACGAAATACAGAGCTGGCCTCCACTTCCGCTATCAGAGGGATTGTTCCACATAACATTACTCTATCTCCAGAAGTACAGCAGCAGCTAGGACCAGGCTGCCACCAGATTACTGTTGTGGCTCTCAATGGGGTGACGGCTGTAGATCGCTCCACTGTCCTGAAGCTGTGCTTGGTGGAGCCAGTGGAAGGCCTCATAGTGGATGTGGAACCTGAGCATGCCCAGTGTCCGGTCCATGCCCTCTATGTCAATGTGTCTCTGGCTCGGGGGGCTCCAGTGCAACTGCATTTTCTGGTGTCTGGAGCCAAACACACCTTTTCTGAGATGCATAAGATGCTACATGGAAGTCCGCAGGTTTTCGTCATCTCAAACATAATACAAGGTACTGCCTTTTACTTATTTACACGTACACTAGAGAGCCAAAAGTAGGTGGACATTTAATTTCAAAAGCATGACATTAATAGGGTTTTGGACATATATTAAAACATACATTATAATGAAATGAACGTAGTGTGTATTTTGATCACATAGCTTGTACCTTCTTCAATCTGATTTTTTTTCTCTCATCATTTAGGCAAATTAAATGTTATGGTCAGAGCGGAGAATCAAACATGGAAATGGATGGTGGAAACTCAGCAGTGAATCGTCACAATTCAGTTCAAATGAAGGAGACACGGTATGTGATCCAGAGGCTGTCTATAAACATATATGCTTCATTATAAGCATTCAGTACACTTCATTCATTCATGTGAGATGTTGTTGACTACAGAAAATGTTCACTGCAGGTTACTACAGAAAAAAAAATCACAATTGTTAGTGTGTGTAAAAAAAAAAAAAAACCTTTTCCAGACATTCTGAAAGTTTAAAAGTGTACACTCTAAAAAATGCTGGGTTATATTTAACCCAGCATTTTTTTAGAGTGTAGTATATTGGTTTGAGTCTGTACTGGTTCTTTTATACAGAAATGATTTACTTGAGCTGTTAAGTTGTCTAAATTGTTCTTTTGCGGTAAGACTACTTTTTTTAAAGGTGGATGAACCTTGTTATGTATTTCTGATATTTGCTTTATAGAAACACTTTACAATAAGGTTCCATTAGTTAACATGTAAACAGTAAAAGTGAAAAATACTTGTAAAGCATTTACTAGTTCATGTTTATTGTAACATTTACTAATACATCATTAAAACCAAAAGCTATATCTGTTAATATAATATAATGGACCTGAGCTAACATGAACTAACAATGAACAGTTTTATTTTTTATCAACTATCATTAGCAAATATGAATTAATACTGTAACAAATGTACCCTATTGCACATTGTTAATCTGGAACCAGATGCATCACTGTCATTCCTAGAGAAAATATGAAGCTATCTGTTACGTAAGCATGTAACCGACTGCAATTTGATCAAATTATGAGCTCAGATTTCTTGTCATTTATACTAAGTAGCCCACCTTGAAACTGGTGTATACTTTATCTCCTCTCTTTTTAGCTGTTCCAACTGCAATCCGGTGAACGTCGCTGAGAGTGTTAAGCTACAGGTGCAGTGTGAAGGATGTCAGAAAATTGTTTGGTACTTTGAGAGCAAAAAGGATTTTACTGTAAGTGTTTTTATGTTATGACATTCCAATCATTAAACCTGTAGCTTTAGGAAGATTGTTCAGTGTGCTTTCTGAAAATTAGTTCAACCTTGCATGTGATCAATGGTGGGAAAAGTATATAGCTTACTTTTTTTGTAACCTGTTTATAATAAAACATTTGTAATGATGAAGTTGCAGTTTAGTACATTTAAAATGTATTATGTTATATACAAAATTCTAAAAGTACTAAAATTCTTAATAGTACTTGTATGTCATTAAATTAATATAAGTGTACCTCTTTAAAGCATGACAAATATTTTTTAAAACATTTCAAGTGTACTGCAAATATTTGACATCATTGCAATGTGAACCTCTTAAAACTGTTAAGACACATAATCATGAAAGTGTACTCTCTTTAAGTACACTTAAGCAGCCTCTAATTCCGTTAATATTATATGATCTGCATCTGCATGTACAGTTTTTTAAAAACATACTTTTATGATTTTAAATACACTGCAAGTGCACATTTAATATGATTAAGCACACTTTTTTTCTTAAAAGACATATGACATAATGTGTTTGTATGGTGTATTAAAATACCATCTAATGCACTGTCTTCTCACAGGGTTCGCTAAGCCACTGTCACTCAGAGTCAGTGAAAAAGCCATTGATACAGAAGGCAGAGGGCAGCAGCTCTTTTACCATAGAGAGTGATGCACTACAAAAGGTAAAAGCAGGATATCACAGTGGTGGTTTATGGTAGGAGTTGCTTAAATCTTAAAATGAGCTTGGACACTGAAATCACACTTTAAAATGTATGAATTTCATTGCACAGATAGACAAATATCAAAACAAGCAGAATCTGCAAAGAAATTCTAACCATTTGGTTACTTTTAAATAAATTGTGTCATGGCAGTTTGACTGGATGAAGTAAGTTCTCCTCAAGTTCACACAGGTGTTCTATAGCAGATAAACCACAGGTTTAAGTAATCACATTAACTATGAACATATCCCACTAGTTTCATAACCAGAAAGTGTCCAGTTTTTTTCTGTGTAAATTTTAAACAGTAGATCTATTATTTTATTGTTTGAAACCCAGCACATCTGTATTTATTTATTTATTTACATACAAATAAATGCTACTTGGTTTGATATTATCTAATGCAGTGACATTGATACATTTTTAAATGTGACTTAAAGAAGTAGTTTACCTAAAAATAAAAAGTAGCAAAAAAATGTACTCACCCTTGGGCCATGTAGTTGAGTTTGTTTTTTCATTGAAATAGATTTGGAGAAATTCAGCATTACATCACTTGCTCACCAATGGATCCTCTGCAGTGAATGGGTGCCATCAGAATGAAAGTCCAAACAGATGATAAAAACATCACAAGAATTCATAAGTAATCCACACAACTTCAGTCCATCAGTTAAAGGGATAGTTCACCCAAAAATGAAAATTTGATGTTTATCTGCTTACCCCCAGGGCATCCAAGATGTAGGTGACTTTGTTTCTTCAGTAGAACACAAATGATGGAACACTTTAATTCAGCTGGATACTTTATTGCGGAGCCCCCACAAAATGTTGGAGGGCGGGCCGCGCAGCAGCAGTGCAGTGAGTTGTCAAAAATCTGTTGTGGTGGTGACGCCGAGGGTCCAGAACGCCCACTACGGTAAATTGATGTGAAGTTTGACTCGCCAGGGATTGTTGTTATAAACGTTGCGATTGTGGTTGTCCTTTTGAATTGAGCTGGACGATAATGCAGCGCTTTGTCTCACTGCAACTTCGGGCGGCGGACAGGCGCAAGGGCGCGGGCAGTGCATAGTTATCCAGTGCGCAAGTGTCATTCTGCTGGATTATCCCAAACAACTGCGTCTCCAACCGCAGCGGGATGCCTCTGATCAGCCTGGACGACGACGAGCAGAGATGGGTCCCGACGCACGTCAACGTGACCGTCCTTCGCGCGAGGGGTCTGCGGACGAAGGGCAAGCAAGGCAGCCGCTACGTTTACACCATCATCCAGGTCGGCAAGGAGAAGTACACCACCGGCCTGGTGGAGAAGGCTGAGGAGCCGCAGTGGCACGAGGAATGCTCGTTTGAGCTGCTGCCCGGGCTGCTGGAGGCGGGTGGGATGAGCGCGTACCCGCCCGGGAGCAGCAACCTGGTGCTCACCGTGATGCATCGCGTGCTGATCGGGCTGGACGTGTTTCTCGGTCAAACTATTATTCCCCTCCACAAAGTTTTTCAAGATGGAATGTGTCCCAGAAATGAGTGAGTATTTCAGCCAATAATAGGATCAATTAATAGGCCTTGAGACTTTCGTACTGTGGCAGTACCATGGTACAATGATGGCATCAGATACCATGGTACTGAATGATTACCATATTCATGTGTACAATTAAAAAAAGTGCTTAAAACCCTTCTTAAACCATCAGACTAGTAGATAGAGGACACACCTTACGAAAATTAACCATGGTTTTATTTTAATAAAAGTGTTGTAACCATGGTTTTTTGGCATATTGATTACCATTTGTATAACCACAGTTTTACTAAATACCATGGATAAACTATGGTTAGTGTAGCAAAAACATGGTTAATTTGTGGTTACCATGGTTTAACTATAGTAACCATGGTTTAATTTGTAGTAAAACCATGGTTAATTTTCGTAAGGGAAGCAGACCAGCTCGGGTTTATGTTTCATCAAGTATACGTAAAACAAGGTAAGGTATAGGCTAATAAGTAGAAATATCATAGGCTAGTTTTCATTACTTGAAATAAATACGTGTTAACTCAAAATATAAAAATTTGATGTACTGAAATAACTAAACATAAAACTGAAATAAAAATAAAATGGAAACTGTATAGACTTAAAAATCAATAAAAAAATGTATTTAAAATAAAAAAATATTAAAGGGGGCATATGATGTTGCTAAAAAGAACATTATTTTGTGTATTTGGTGTAATGAAATGTTTATGCGGTCCATTATAAGACTGACAGACTGCAACGGTTTGAGTTAAAAATCTTTGTTTGTGTTCTACTGAAGAAACAAAGTCACCTACATCTTGGATGCCCTGGGGGTAAGCAGATAAACATAAAATTTTCATTTTGGGGTGAACTATCCCTTTAAAAGGAATAGTTTACCCAAAAATTTAAATTAGCAGAAAATTGTCTTACTCTCCGGCCATCCAAGATGTAGATGAGTTTGTTTTTTCATCAGAACAGATTCGGAGAAATGTAGCATTACATCACTTGCTCACCAATGGATCCTCTGCAGTGAATGGGTGCCATCAGAATGAAAGTCCAAACAGATGATAAAAACATCACAAGAATTCATAAGTAATCCACACAACTTCAGTCCATCAGTTAAAGGAATAGTTCACCCAAAAATGAAAATTTGATGTTTATCTGCTTACCCCCAGGGCATCCAAGATGTAGGTGACTTTGTTTCTTCAGTAGAACACAAATGATGGAACACTTTAATTCAGCTGGATACTTTATTGCGGAGCCCCCACAAAATGTTGGAGGGCGGGCCGGGCAGCAGCAGTGCAGTGAGTTGTCAAAAATCTGTTGTGGTGGTGTCGCCGAGGGTCCAGAACGCCCACTACGGTAAATTGATGTGAAGTTGAGCCGTAGGGTTTAATTTGGATTTGTCTGTGCATGTTTTTTTTACTCTCATAAATTTTGTTACCATTGCCATGCATTATACGACTGATAGACTGCAACGAATGGAGTTAAAAATCTCCGTTTGTGTTCTACTGAAGAAACAAAGTCACCTACATCTTGGATGCCCTGGGGGTAAGCAGATAAACATCAAATTTTCATTTTTGGGTGAACTATCCCTTTAATGTCTTGTGATGTGAAAAGCTTCATGTTTGCAATAAATCCATTATTAAGTCATTTTAATTTAAACTTTTGCTTCCGGCTAAAATAAGAGTCTGTAATCCATAACATTGCTTTCCCCAGTGCAAAAGTTGTCTTACCTGAATCAAGAGAGAAATATGCACAGATCAAACACCATTCACAAGTGAAAAACATTCTGAACAAATACTGTAATATTTTTATCAGCTGTTTGGACTCTCATTCTGACGGCACCCATTCACTGCAGAGGATCCATTGGTGATCAAGTGATGTAATGATAAATTTCTCCAAATCTATTCAGATGAAGAAACAAACTCATCTACATCTTGAATGGCCCGAGGGCAATTCAATTGAATTTTTAGGTGAACTTTTCCTTTAAGTGCTTTTTGGGACCACCAAATTAGATAACGCTTTGTCCTTGTTATAAATATGCCTACTTCTGTATAGTAAAAACTGTTTTGCATAATTACATTCAGCTACCCATAACCCTATATTATGTACATGATGTTAATTGATTTTACTCTGTATTTGTGTAATTACACTGTAACAATGACACATGTAAAATAAAGTGTAACCCCAAATTGAAATTTAAGACCCTGGTTGATTGATGCCAAATATGTTTTCTATTAGCTATCAAAGGCAGCTTATCTGGATCTGCTAGATACACTGTTCCAATTGTTGATACATCCAGTGCTGAGGATTCATCAGTCCAGCCACTTTTGCCGACCACTATCTCTCCATCATCTCATACTACTGACAAATAACTCAACTCTGTAACGCCCCCTATCGCCCTGAGTCCTCCCTCCTGCATCATTAGCCCTCTTGTGGGTGATGTTCTCTCTCCTTTTAAGATCAGCTGCTCTGACTATCCATCTTTTTGCAAAGTCGGGTCCTGTATTTTCTGCTTCAAAACTGTCAAGTACGGTGGCTGAGAAGTTACATTTAGTTAAAAGTGGCTGTAAAACATCAGCTCCAGTGGCGCAGATGGATAAGCACTTGCCCTTGACTTTCTGATGCCATCGACCCGGGTTCGATTCCACCTTTTGCCAAACTTTATTTCTCCCTTTTCAAATCTCATATTTTGCATTTGCGTTTGTAATTTGTTATTTTGTTTTCAGAATTGTGATTTGCTTTGCACTTCTCGGCCACCGTAGTCAAGGGTGAGAAATTTGATTTTTATTCTAAATTTGGTTCTTGCTGATAAAGGCGAAAACAACCTATGTGTATAAAGGTTAACTTCATGTACTTTGACCTATTTTGCAGGTAATTATTTTTATTGCGGTGCCGAGCCCATGGTGGAGTCGCTTTACGTCCCTCTAGGGAATAAACATAACAACTACAGTCTGACGGTGCATGCTGACACTGCTGTAACCACTCGGGTTTGTAGTCTAGTTGATTGGTTTATGAGCATCTTTCCAAAAGCAAGTTTAAAAAAACACACTTCAATACAGTTCAGCTGAATTAATTAGACAGATGGTTCTTTGTGCCATTTGTCCTTCAGAAATTGAATAAATCACTGCCAAATTTCAAGAAATTATATTTTTCCACTTCAGGCCCAAAATGCCAGATCTGTAACCACTACACAGTGAGCAACCAGCATAGAGGAATAAATATTCAGATAATCAACACATACTTGTTCTTCAATGGCCAACTCTTAAAACTTTTCAGACTTATAAATATGTGGCTATAGTTTTACACAGTACTCTTTTTTTATCATTACTAACCTTAACCCTAACTCAACCCTGTCACAATAAGTTTGGAATCTATATACTAATTTATACTTAATAATATGAATAGATATCTACAGTAAGTACATTTTTGTAGTTAGGTTACTGTTTTCTTGTAATAAACCAAACATTATAGATGAATGAATAAAAAATGTGTGAATAAATAAAAAAGGACGCATGTCTTCCCTTTGAAAACATGTTTTGTGTCATATAATTACAGCTAAAGAAGACCAAACATGTTGGAAACCATGTGTCGATTATCAATAATCAAAAAACTATAAAGAACGTGAATGATGACTATATAATTCAATAAATGCAAAATGTAGTTTCTAAATCCTAATTGTGTATTTTTTCAACTTATTTCAGTCTGTTTTTTTAACCTGTTAATATGTAAATGTGATAAATGAGAACATGCAAATTAGCTGATATTTATGAAAAACAACAATTTAAAATCAATTAAATGTTTTATATTTTGTTTTCATTGCATATTAAACAGAGTTGAATCTATGAAGAAATGCAATGTAACGTTATATCTATGATTCTTCTTGTTAATCAATATCAGTACTAGGCCATGGGGACCATGGAACTATTTCCTGAGAATAAGTAAGACAGATAAAATTAGTGAAATACAGAAAAAAAGATTGACAGAATGATATGACAGAATTGTGGAAATGAAATTGTTGTGCATCATGTTCCAGGTTAAGGACACCAGTAGTAATCACACAGTTGGAGATCTCCAGGCGCTGGTTTCCAACCAGGTGTCTCAGCTGCAGCAACAAGGTCGACTCACTGGCACAGATGTTTCAGTCTGTGTCCGACAGACTGAATGATGCATTACCTGAAGGACAGCATGACAGTGTCAAAAAAGAGGTAGCCTATAGGAAATATGCACATTCAGAAGTGATTTATATACCCACCTGTTAACCAAATATTCCTCTTCTAACTGAAGCTGAGACAGCAGATGTTGCAGAGTTTGAGTGCTGCCACAAGTTCCTTCCCTCCGAAGAATCCAGCAGAGGTGCAGATGAGTACTAATGTGGTTGCAGGTCTTACCACACAGGGTCATGAGCTGACAGACACTGCTCAGGTACTTCTTAACCCATCCAGGTGAATTTAGATGGAAGCAACACATTGGTAGTAATACATCTCTCCTAACTCATTCTTCCTGGCTACAGTTACAGGCTAGTTTTCTGCTTACAAACCTCAGTACGTCCTTGGTCTCCTTGATGCTTTCTGGTAAGGAGTTTTCTGAATAGATACTGCAAGCATCTACGCCGATAATTGATGCTTTCAGTAACATCATCAAAGTTTCTTCCAGTACTTCTAAGCAGGTACATCACAATACTCAAGCCCTGCTCCATACTCTGGTTATAAACCATCATTTTAAACATTGTTTCCATTCCCCTCTATTACAGATTGAGATCTCCAGTCATTTACTAAACACTGTGGACAATGTTCAGAGTGCCTTGTTGGCTGAGAAAAAGGTGAACCAGGAGCCCACCATTCTCAGCACATCAGTTTTTGGTTTATATGTCAACAGGTAAACAAATAATAGTGGTAGGTCAAGGAATTTATTGTCTTAAATCATAAACATAAAACCTATAATGTAACATATTTTATATGTTGTAACATTTTTGTATGTCGCAATGAAACAAAGAAATGGTACATATCTTGTTCTTTGTTTGTTGC